ATACATTCCGAACACCAAGCTACACCCCAAACAAACTTCAAAGTCATCTAAGGAGTAAGAAGTAGTCTTCCTTAAAGTGTACGAATCAGACTTCTTCAAACTGCAGAAGCAATGGCGATTCACTTGCTAAGCCCTGAACTCTGCATACAGAAGTTCGTTCGATCACTACACTTGCAATGGACGTAATCTATCTTATTACCCGACAAGTAAATTCTACCTAATCTCTTTTTTTCTGCCTCTTCATTGGTACTCTCAATTGTAATATTTTACATTTTCAACTTTCTTGTTCTCTACCCCCACCCATTTCAATTTCTACACCTCACCACCACTGTCACTGACCTGACCAACGCTCAATTTGTGGTCATTTATGTTACGTCATCCAACTTATTTGCTCAGTTTCAGTTCTAATTTAAATGGCATTATTCTCTACTCCACTTCTACTTGGTCTCTACCTGTAATTACCTCTGTTGCTACCCTGACCTAAGTCAAAACATTTTAGTCAATTATATTACGTCATCTAACTTACTAACTCAATCTTACTTTAGCTGCTGTCCAATTAACCTTGTTTCTATATTACATCATTTTTGTATTACCTGATCAATTATCTAATTTTGACAAACCTCATGTACACACACACAAATAATTATATATAAATGCGATTGTACAGCTAGGTGAATGAATTCGCCGAAAAGAGTCTCTTCGCTGAACGTCTTCTTTTTTTCATACGAATAAATGGGGATTTTCAAGCTAAGTCTATACTGTCTGACTTTCAACATCCTCTCTACTCTCAGCTCTCCCCTTACATCCCATCAGGTAAGATTAGAAGTCATCACTAAAGATTAAATGTTTGTACAACCAAGTACAAAAACTCAACGATACCCTATTTGGCCCGCATTCTATGTGGTAGAGATGGCGTTAGATGGCGTGAAACCTACTACTTGCTGTGTAATTAGCAAAGTAATAGGCTCTTTTATCCTCTCCTATTTTTAATCTCAGGTGACATTATTTCAACTAACTTATAATATCAGCTGTAAACAGTATTATCATTATTTCACAGTTTTTGTACATTTTTTACTTTATTGTCACTGCTAATACCAAAAAAGCTGCTACCATTCGTCCTGGTTACGTATACCCTGTAATATTATTTTTTGTTTTATTTTTGGTGTTGTCGAGTAAATTAGATGGGGTAAATCTGTGAATTCTACACTGTGTCATAATTACCATTTTGGAACAAAGCATATTATTATTATTACTAAAATTTCAGAGGTTCCTCCCTCTTCGTGTGGGAGCACTACTGATGCTTTAATTTCCCTATTGTTGGCGCTGTCATCTTTCTGTGTATGTTTTTCATGTATGTCATCGCTATTATTATCATTACCACTAGCTCCTTTGAAAACATTGTCAATGGTCTAAGCATCGTATGCTCAGTCGAATCCGTAAATTTCATTCGAGATCTTTAATACAAACCATGTCAAAACTTCTCTACCGTCAGTGAAGACAAGAAAGGTTGGTTCAAATCTAGACTAGTTGACATCTCCAACCAATACCTCTGCTCACCAATTCAACAGTATAGAATTATGATGAAAGGGCACCAAAAATCAATTAAACATTTGCTAAACAATGAACATGTCGTCATACCGCAACCAGATAAAGGTTCAGGCGTGGTGGTGATGAACAAAGCCGACTATATCCTAAAAATGGAATCTATTCTTCACGATATGTCGAGGTTCAAGATGGATAACCAAAATGACAGGATCCCGCATAAAGTAGTATGTCATCATTCCTCACGTATGTTGGAAGTAATTATGCGATCAATCATTTCTCACGACTGTGAGGCCGACTTTATTGTTGTAAAGAAAATGTATAAATACCATGTGTTGTTTCTCCTAATGGTTGTTGTGTGATTACAATATGCAGTCACAGGCCAGCCTTTATCTTTTGATATTTGCGTGGCTCAGTAAATTGGAAGGTACCACAGGCAGATGGGCATATTAGGCAGGCGAAGATAGAAGAAAGTGACTACGATTCTCATTTAGGGAAGTTTTGACAAATTTGCGACGGATTATTTCAGTTCACTGAAGTTATGAAAAAAAATAAAGATAAAACAGACTCGACAGAAAAGAAAGTCACGAAAGCATTCAGAGAGCTGTTAAAAAGAAAATGATCGACAACGACACATGCAATGAATTAAAGCCCTAGGGGTCTCGTCTACCATATATGTATGGTCTATCCAAGATACATAAAAAGAACTACTCAGTAAGACCCATACTGTCAACGAAGAATCTGCTGTTCCATAAAGTTGCTCGGTGATTAGCCGATAAGTTGGAACCCATTAGACAAAGACTAGCCAAACACGCTCTGAAAGATTCTTTCCAATTCGTTGAAGATGTGAGTAAACTTAACTTATGGGGTAAATTCATGGTCTCCTTCGATGTGACTTCTCTATTCACACAGGACCCACTGCATGAGACATTTGACATCATCTGTCAACATCCTGACTTACTTCCTCTGCCAAAACTGGAATTTAGGCAGCTTCTTATGTTATGTATCAATAATATACAATTCCAACAAAATGTATCGCTAGGTTGATGGAGTGGCGATGGGTAGTCCATTGAGTCATATATTAGCTGATATTTTTATTGCCAATCTAGAATAAACTAAACTCAAGTGTGCAATTGATGAAACGACAGCCTACTACATTTGCGTAGATGACACATTTATTGTATGCAGTGATCTGAGCCGCTTCTTCTCTATTGGGTTTGTTCAACAATATATTTTTTTCGATCAAAATAAAAAAAGAAATAAAAAATAAGTTTTCATCAAACTCGACTCCAAAGGCTGTGATACTACAAGAATAATAAATAAAAGATTAAGCACAGCCCTGTCCAGGACGTATCCTGCAGCAAAACTAGTCTTTCTGCTCCGAACATCTTCCTCGTTGGTGCAGTCAAAGATCGACAAGTACCCCTCATATGTTACCTCCAACTGTACATACCAATTCACACTTATCTGTGGGAACAGTTTGCTGAGGCTATTGCAATGAAATGGCTGAAACCTGACCTTTGTTTTCAAAAGGAATCCGTCGTTGGACTCCAAAACTTTGGTGACTCATCCCTTGATAACTCTTGATCTTCTAACTTCATTAACTTATCTTTTCAACGCCTCCCCCCTCGCCTCGTTTCTTCTGTTTGACTTCCACAAGAGATAATTTTTCTTGACCTTATGAGTTCTACTTACCATACTGCATCATGACCTTTTCATATGACCTCTTGCACACCGAATTTTAATCTTCTCTTTTCGAACTATGTAATTGTTACGAATATTTTGTTACCACCCTAACAACAAACTTGTCAATTAATTTTATAGAAACTTCTCTCTATCAAGATGCATATATGTATACTTGTTGTGGTGCTTTATTTTACCAAACTAGCGTACACGTATATCCTAGTACTTCTTCACGATTATTACTGTGTCCTAACGTTGTGTTTGCTCGACATCCACAACGTTAATCAAAAGTCACTTGAGAAGGAGTACAAACGCATATTAACGCAGTAATCAAAATTTAAAACTGGAGCGAGTACAAAAGTATCCGTCGATAACACGCATTCTTTGTAGTGATAAACAAATCAAAGTCCAATTACACATTGAAAGTATACTACGATGATGAATAATAAAATGGGTCACTACATACTTACACTTCAGAAGCCTTGTCTTCCTGATGTTTTGCTTCACCATGACAAAAGTATGTTAAATTTTACCTTGACTTTTATTTATTAAAGGTTATATAGGTTGTATGCAGCTGATGAGAACCAATGAAATAAAATGGATCTATGTTGTTCTGCATCAATGTTTGTTCTTTCTCTGCTCAAATATTAATTTTATCTTAACAACTTCCAACATACTTCGTGATTAATTTATCGGGATAATTATTAAGTACCAATAATTCTTTTTTGTCTTCCTTTTTACCTTGGTTTATCTTTGGTACTATTTAGTTTTTTGTCCTACTATTGAAACATTTCACCAATCCTGATTAAACCGACATAGGGTGAAATGAACTGAAACTTAAATATTGGTTTGAATGTATGGGTTTCCTAAAAATCACTAGTGATTAAATTCCCATCTTCTTTCCTTTTCACGCCACAACCATAAGTGAACTGAACTGCATCTACCTTCAAGTTGATATGTTCAAAAAATCTATCTATATCCTGTGTTCTAAGTACAGTGAATCTGTCATTTACATTACCTCTATCATACTTTTGGGTGGGGCTGAATGTTTCTATCACGATGTTTTTCCATCTGTCTATGAATATATCGACTACTATGGGGATATTGATGAATCCCTTGCAAATCCTTCAGTTTGTATATTTTCCCCTCTACTTCATAATTTGTAACACGGTTCCTCTGATAGCGTTCTCATTTATTTCTCCTTTTATCCCTGGTGAAAAATGATTGGAACAGTTCTAGAATTTAAGGACTATTAAAATTTTTACGTGTTTGACCACGGATTAATATCAATTAGAGAACCGTTGGAAACCAGGTAGTACTGGACATCTGTTTCATCCTAGTTTAGGAATCATCGGCAGGACGTACCCACTGGGGTTGGAACCCAGGGCCTTCCGGTCACAAGGCCAGCGAGCTCGTATACCATTCAGTCACTGGGACCCCACCCGATTCAATGGCCAGCACATGAATTCTAACTTCTACCAATTTTTGATTTAGCGCGACCACCAACCACTCAATCGGGTCCCAGTTACTGAAAGGTATATGAGCTTGCTTTGTAACTGGAAGGTCTCGGATTCGAACCCTGGTGGTGGGTGCGTACCACCGATGATTCCCAAACTAGTATGAAACAGCTATCCAGTACTCCCTGGGTTTCATTGGTTCTCTAACTGATATCAATCCGTGGTCAAACTCGTAAAAACAAATCTAATCCTTATAAACCAACTCTTGAAAAAACTATTAAGATTTACTAGAGTGGAATTGAAAACAGAAACCTTTATGTGCATAATTTTATTATACATTATCGTTTGAAACATATTTTCTTCGTTAATGTATGCCTGACTTCTGGAATTTGAAGGAATAATTCGGTGTTTTCTTTCACCTGTTGAGAAGACATTTCCTGATAAAGTTGTTTGCTAACTTCACGGTGTACAGCTGTAACTATATCTAAAAGACTTTCATTTGGTGAAGACCACCTGTATAATCGTTTGCATAATGCCTGTATATAAACAGTACCACCAGTTGGATCTCTTTGTGCTCGAAAACCTGCTACAGTAGCATAACTTAATAAAAAATCTGCATAAGCTGGAATTAACTGAACACTGTTTGTATCCAATGATTTTGAACTATTGAACAGATTGTCTAATTTAAAACCAATTAATTTTGCATCTGAAACTGATATTCTTGGATTTATGATTGACAAGTTATTCTGAATAAAGTTGCCAGTAGTTTCTTCGGCTAGCAGTAGATTGTTGAAGTCGTTGTCAGTGTGAACAGCCTGAGCAGATTGTCTTTGTAAAACATACCCTTTTTGATAGTCTTCACCACGACATGCTTGAATGAAGAATAGCTTTGGTTTTCCAGCTAATGATGGACAATTATCAGCTGTGAATAATGATGTCAGTCCATGAATAGATAAAGAATTTCCATCAACGCCGTAAATACGTCCGATAGTACCATGAGACATAAGGCAAATAACTAGACAATTGTATTCTGTATGATCTGTTTTTTGACTTAAATGCTCTAGCTGAGCTTGTATTTCACCAGCTGATAGATTACGAAATAATTTCACTAGAAAATTAAAGGATTCAAATACTTTTTCTAAACTTTTCTCATCTATATCACAACCAGGACGATTCTGTAAGTAAAGAAAAGAAAAGTGTTACAATGAAGAGTATCATCAACTTGTATATTGATTGTGTTCAAGAACAGATAAACGTTTTTTGCATTTGGAGATTAGATCTTTAGGTTTGATGTTGTGTGAATTTATGTACTACAAATTACCAACGGGAAATATTCAACACTTTTTGATTGTGTTGAGAGATTTGAGGATCTTTGAGCTCTAATGTCTGTTGATATAGTTTTCTGTCTTACTTTTGTCACCATCTGGGGTATTTCTCTGCATACCAGGTTTTCGGGCTGAAATTACCGTTAATTTTCCTCAGTAAACCAAAAAGTTTCTTTATGAACAAAAATTAAAAACCCAAAAACAACAAGTGATAGAAACCATCTCGAGGGCATCTATCCTCTGGTGTCCTCGAACTTACGAGTCTTCCTGATTCCAGCGGAAAGCAACTTTATTTTCTCTATGCTTTGAAGTTTCAGTAGAAATGAGGCTGTTTCCTCCACAGGATGGGGTTGCTATCCCCACACCCAACGTTCCTTCCTCTCCAGGTTTAGGACTGGCAAGTAATCTTGGAGCGCTTTAGGAGTGCATCGGTGGGAAATAAAATCTGGACTGAAAGAGAGTTCTACCATAGAAACACTGACACGTTTAATTAATCTCCAGTGAAAGAATCAGATATCTGGAAGGACTGTTAAAAGCAAGCAAACTAATAGATTTACCACAGTAATTTTTCTTATTCTTGTACTTTCCTAGTGGAGCATAGGGTTTCAAGCTAGGGGCTTGAAGTTTTCGTAACAGTGGTGTTTACTTTTGCGGGATAAGGTTACCAGCCTCATCCCCAACCTTCCATCCTCGCCAGTCTTGTTGCTGGCAACGAGGTAAAGGAGTGCGTCAACTAGTGATCGAACCCCGGACCACATGAGTGGCTGGCAAGCATTCTACCGCTGTGCCACTGATGCACCAAGCAAACTAATAGAAGGAATAAAATTTTTGGTGTACACAGAGTTCAAGTCAAATAGACAGACAAGCTCTGAAATGTCAATCTGTTTTTCAAATTTGCGTGTAAATTTTAAAATAATCTTACAGGCAGATTTTAGCGCATGTTCATAAAGAGAAGTTAAAATGGAGCAGACTAGGTGAAAGTCAGGAATCTTTATAGCTGAAAGCAACTGCAAACAACCGACTGAGATGGAAGTCCGCCTCTGAATCCCTTTGTTTCACACAGAAAGCATAGAATGAATAATAAATCGCAATAAGTGCAACGTTCTAGCTAAAATCACTCCATGCTAACTTTAACTAGCATTTTGAAAAAATGTAATTTCGGCTCAAAAATGCAAAAGCTACACATTATTGTAAATTAAGGAACTGCAACAGTGGATATTGAAAAATGGTAAATATTCTAACTAGTCGCCTTCAGCGAAAAGTTTAATTAAAGTCTTACTCTTCTATAAATAATGGATCGATGGTATTTAACCAAGAACTTTTGCAACTTTAATAAAGGAGACCAATTCAGTTTAAATACAAACATCAAAAATGAAATAACCAGAAACTCACTAAATGAAGAAGGTAAGAAAATTGCTGTAATCGTTATGTTGAATAAAAAAAACTACTTACAGTGTACAAATTAACTTGCATAAAAATCCTAATGTTCAAATAACCAACACCTCAGAAGTCGAGATAAAAATCAGTACATTGATAAAAAATTACGGAAGTTTCAATGAAAGACCTGTTACAATGCAGTATGGGTAGACTTCGATCTTCCCTTCAAAACACTTTCATGTGACCATGTGTAAATGTCTTCTGCCAGATTAGTCCTATTCATCGCCTTCACAAGGTGGCAGTGGATCGCACAGAAATGAAAAAGTGAATCCAGATATCTGGAACACACACCTTGACTGGTGGATATGCATGTCTATCTAACTTAGCTGAAAAAACCCCATTCCAAACCTACAGTGCATATCAGCTACAAAATCCGAAAGGATCGGATTGCTTATAAACCTGTCTTGGTCACCGGGAGCCATAGGAACATAACTCCTACTGAATCTCCAGTGTCCTGAGGATCAGACTTTAAGTTGAAGAGTAGGAAATAACCCCTGAAGACAACCACCAGCTTTGTTCTTGGCGTCTGGACAGTATCCCAGACCGTGCACAAACTTTGAGATTTTGTGTGACGCATCTCTTGGTGTCCATAATGTATCCAGTTTGTGTTTTAATAATAATAATATCAATGCAAAGCAGTTTGATTAAGAAGTTAGGTATAAACTAAACATCTGAATTTTATTCAACCCAGGAGATATCCTAAATATGTCAACTGAACTTCTTACCTTGTCTCGAAGTATAAAGCTAAGACTGATATTTAAATCTCTGGTCAAAAACAGTCAACTAAGATCAATCTTTTCTGTCCAGTATAAATCAGTTAACGGGATATAAGAAATAACTGATGTCTGTTGAACAAGAAGTGGTCCTTCGGGCTCAGGTAGCTTTTTGGATAACGCTCTGGTGTTTGAAACGATACTTGCTAGATCCGAGTCTCAGTAGAAATACCACCACTTACTGAGGATGCAGGTACACTCAGTTAATGAGTTTTAAATAGGACGAAATGCAGATCCTGAATTCCAGTGATAGGCTCCAACAACCAAATAAGTCTAAGCTTGTCAATTTAGATCCTTAAGACTGAGTGAGCTAATTTTTGAATGCGATGTGATAGGTTACTCAAAGCTAATTAATGGTAGTGGTGCGCGAACATATAATCAGGCATATTTACTGTATATATTACACTGTCTATCCTATTTTCTCTTTTTTTTTATCGCCACATTTAGTGTCATCGCTTCATTGAGTTCATTTTGCCGATTTTCCTCTTCTGTACTGTTTTGAACTTTGTTAAGTAGAACCAAAAGACAAATATTAACAACATCACAATCCTAATGTGTGGGATGAATGCTAAACTGGGAACAGGCAGTACAGGAAGACAACTATTAATGGGCTGGGAGGCTCACAGCAAAATGAATGAGAATGTGTCACTCTTCTCAGAATTCAGAGTCTTCAATGATTAGGTGATTAGCCATAGAGTGTACTTTCACAAGCGTATATAAAAAGCGACATGGGTTTCACCAAATGGTGACAACAGAAATCAGATTGACTTCACCTTAATATTGTTCAAGACAGTTTCAACATCAAGCTGAAAACCTCCAAAGATGGAGACGGATTGAACTCATGCTAAGGAGACCATTGGGGGATATTGGTCGCCAGGGTCTTGAATCAGGGCACTCAGCCTCAAGTTATTTGTCCTTCACAGTTATCTACGTTGCTAAATTCAATCATCTTAAAAGTTAAGATTTTCATCTGTTTTTCACGAACGAAGCACTGGCTATACATGAATGAAAACCTAAAGCAGGTATGAGAAAAGTTTTGTCAAGCCCCTTCATTATCCTGGTCAATGTAATGTTCTTTTTGGTTAGTTTCATCTTACTTCATTTTATCTTCGCTGTGATTGTTGACATCGTTATAGCGACTTTGAATTCTAACACGACTCAATCCATTTTAAACCTCTTAATATCGATCTACTTCTTTATTATTCTTTTGTAAATGTGTAATTCATCGACTTCATATTTAGTCCCATGAAAACCATGTTAATTATTTTCAGTTTGATCAAATATATACTGACTAGGCAACTTTTACTGGAGATTGAGAATTTTTCCCTGATATAAATAAAGCTACACAACTTGAAAGTGAAGTCGTTGAAAAGAAATATTTCTTTAATATTAGTTTCCAAAGTTCCTCCGGCTAGATTGATTCCTGTGAAGCAGACAGCATGTTCGTTGAGTTCAATCGAAATTCAACAGACACCCTTTCTTTGTTTTCTCCAGTTGAGCATATCAACTTACGTATAACTGCCAAAACTGATTCATTGGAAGAACAGAAAGAAGGGTCTACCTTAGATTTTCTGAAAATATACCGAAAAGTATGAGATTAGGAGGAAGTGAATACTTCTTCGCTGAACAAATCTTTGCTTTTTCCTCATTTCCAAATAAATGAGTAAATTTCTTCATAATTAAAACTCATCAATGACGAAATGCAAAACAATCCAACACATTTTAAACCTAGTCATGCATGCATCGAAAAGCAACATTGTCTAAAGTATTAGCAATAAACGGAAAGACAGTTTTCAACGCTCAGAGTAAGACTTGACGACAGTTCATGCAATCTTTACTGATTGTTTTATTCGTGGAGAAAATTTGTGTAATCAGGCTAGGATTAACAGGGCTACCGACGTGATGACAGCTCATAAATGATTTCAGATGCATTCGTGTCCTATTCTCACCATTATTGTAATGTTAAATTTCGTCATTTATATCGTCGATGTTTTCCCCCAATGGAATTTTATACTTTATAATTCTGTTATTATTGTTACTGTTTTCATGTGATTACCTTCTCTTCATATCGACAAGTTGATGTGACGTGCAGAAACCTAGAGGGTAGAACTGTAGTATTAGCTCTGTCTAACCAGAACCTCATTAACGCCTTGTTTGAAAGAGATCGGTCTTTAGAATTTCTAATGTGAAGCCTAGGTCCAGTTTCAGGAAAATAAAGTGTAATCAAGAACTAATTAGACTTTTAATGAAATGCCGTCTATCCATATCACTAGTAACTAATGACACTTGGAAACCACTTTGTCTAATAAGTTTAATACTAAATGTAAATTCATGACTTTAACATTGGGAAAGAATACTTTAACAATGTAACGCAAATTTATCCAGATTTAACCCTATGAGTGAAATATGTCGTGAATGCTTTCAATTCTGCATAATCACTCTAATTTATTTTAAAATAAACGAAAAAGACCAAACTGATCCTTACTTATTTTGTTTTTAACTTACCTGAAAACCTGACTCCCAAAACATCATGTTGTTGACAATAAGACAAATTCCTTTCCGTGTACTATTCATTCTATAGTAGTCATCGGAATCATCTTCGTCCACATTACTGCAGTTCATATTATGGTCATCATCACTGTTCCCTTTTTTCTCACTGGTGTGTAATTCAAGGGTCTACAATTTAAAAATAAACAAAAATGAAATAAATCGATAATAATTATTTAATTATCCAATATAAAATTTAGTAAACTAATACCCGTTTAAACATTGACTCTGTCATTAATCCATGTACATTAGAGCTAAAATTGAAGACTAGAAAGCATGAAACAGATCCTTCATGTAGGCTTGCAATACTGCTTCAGTTTACACCAAAGACTCTGATATATAACACCAACAGCACTATGGAGTCCAACCACCTATGACTTGAATATTTCGAACTTTCATCTTTCAGACATTCAAATAACAAACATAAAAGCTCAATATACGTGTAAAATGTGAGGACTTTTATAGTACGTAATTCTATATTAGTTTGCTTATTATATATGTCATACAGTGAAGTAGTACTTCTATACCAATAAGAAACCTCGGAAACCTTATGGAGAATTCTTAACAGGGCAGAAATAAAAGTGGCATTCAAACCCACAAACTCAATTTAAAACAAGCTTTGTCGGTTAAAGTATCCTGCCAATGGAGTCAATTAAACAAAACAATTAAGTCTATCTAAAACCCTCCGCCAACCGTGCACATGGTCCGAGGTTCGATCCCTGGCCGACGAACTCCTTTACCTCGCTAAGCCAGAAAAAAATGCTGGTATAGAGGAAAGGTTGAGCATGAGGCTAGCAACCCCGTCCTGTAAAAATAAACACTGCTACAGAAACTTCAAGCCACTAGCTTGAGGCCCTATGTTCCATTGGAAACGTGAAGGAAAAATTATTATTTTTATTAAAACCCTCCTGGAATGATCGTTAAGTGTAATATATAGGACAAAGTAGTTGAACAGGGACAGTCAGACAAGACGAGCCTAAAAACTTAACAAAATCTAGATTAGTTGACCCTAATAAGATAATAAATCCGGAGAACAGTTCAGCTATAGAATTCATCATATGCAATTACACACAATCATAGGATAGGATGGGAAAAGAAGACAGTTTTAAAATCTAATCTAACAGGGTGGAGGGAGAGATTGACAACAGAAGCTTTGTTTACCCAATCAAATGCAAATACGTGTAAGAGGAATGATTAGACATCTGTCCACCTAGACATCTGGAAGATTCTACTACCCCTACGACGACGAATAGGAAAGAATAAATAAAACTCAGGTTTCGAAGTCGTGTAATTATAATTGATATGATTATGAACAATAAATTTTGTTCGAAACATCATCCAATAAATAATACTGTTTCACTATGTGACATATCTTATAAACAAACTAATATGGAATGAAAGCGCAATAATGAAATGAATACTATCGAAGCATGAATTTCATTCGTGTAGTATTGTATTGATTATTTGAAAGTGTTATCTACGATTAGTTGTCTAAATCGTGTGTCTTGAACTGCTCTTTTAAAACCGATCAATAATGTTCACTCATCATACTAGTAACATTTTAAAAGGATGGGAGTGTTAGAAGATCAGAAAGAAGTGAAGTTACTACACTCGAAAGAGTATACTTCCTCGACTCTGCGTATTTACTTTCAAAATCTTGTAATTAAACCTAGTTTCAGGGTATCGTTGCAGAGTTATGTTTTAAAGCTACATTCACTGTCTTCCCACCTCTATTGTCGTAGGGGGTATTATTATTCCATTGAGTTCTGAGTAGAATATAGGGCTGCAAAAGTATATTTCTATTTCAGTCTGTCCTCTGTAGTCTGTTTTAGCTCACTCCACGATAACCCATAAACTTTTATTTCATACTTACATTATGACCTCCTTATCACCCTATAACGCCCATCCAATCAGTCATTTCTCATTCGCGTTCCACCGGAGGGTGTGGTGCCAATCAACAGTCTCCCCAGTGAATGTCTAATCCATCTCCTTTATTTCCTTCTGCATATTTTCTGGACTATAGTTTCTTGGTTGATTGGTTGTCAAAGTTCATTGTTGCTTATCTTTTATGGCTGACCATCTAATCTTCAGTAGATAGCGAAGAAGATTTTTGTTTGCAGCCATTGGAAATGCATCAGCATATTTCCTGTAATAATAACCAGTCAACAATATCGCATATGTTGCTTGGTTATTCAAATTCGTTAGAATAACTATGTCTAAATTCTAGTTCAATGATAATTTTACACATTTTGAATAGCCTGGTAATATGCCTTATATGGTCTACATGAAAATCCTTTATTTTACTTTATTTCTGAGTTATTGTACGACTTCATAAATTGATCGATATGCACATGCTCATAACTTCATTACCAATGTTACTTTCATCTGCTTGTTAGCTTGTTCGTACCTTCTTATCATGCGTTTCACAGCATGCAGTCTTACCTTCTATTATTACAGTAGTTGTTTAGGTGGAGGATACTAATACAGCTGTAAATGCAACATGCTGTGACAGCATTAGACTAAGAATAGTAAGATGTGCACTTATATTCATGCCACATGGCGACGAAACGTTCAGGCAGTTTGAGCATTAACAAGTCACATGATTACAAGCTAACTGTCTACACTTAGTGGAAATGATAACAATGGAGAATCTAGTTTACCAATAAGAAGTTTAGTGATATCCAGTCTCGATTGACCGTACAACAGCGACAGTAACATTATCAGCAATTTGGCGCAGTGTAGAGATATCTCATTCAAACAATAAATACAGAAGTATCATTTTACACCCCAGCGATTCTACAACAAAGAAGCATCTAATCTGTACTGAGTATTTTCCCAGAATTTCGTTTTAATCCAGAGGCTGATATTACTTTTGAGTCATAGTTTGAGTGAGTTAAAGATCTGTTTTGTATTGAGTTCTCTTTGTCCGGTGGTATTAAAAAGATTTGCATGCTTTTAAAGAAAACTAGTATGAATCGAGTATATTAAATATGCCAACCTCATTCCTTTCAATGATCCCAAAGAGATCAATTTTGGCAAAACTTTCACCATTCAGCCATTGGGTTGAAATCCTTAAGTCTCTTTCTATGTATATCACTTCAAGGAACTCATCAACAGTCAGTAGTCAATAGCTAACTCACTTGTTTTAAGGAGTGTACTGTCTTTTTGAATTCATGAAGGCTTTCCTTGAAATATGGCGAAGATTTGTTTGGCGAGATAAATCTCTTGACTGACATTTCGCTATCAGAAAAAGAAGCTGAATTCGATTTCCTCACACTGCAGCTTATGGAAAAGGACCAATGTATCAGTTTTTAAGAATTTTACCACTAACTTAAATGGTATTTTATTTCCAGTTAACATAAAGGCTGTAAGTTTTCGTAATTTTTTTAAACTGAATTTATCCGAAAACTTTGGAAAACTTGCTTTGTTTTCTCAGAGAACTCTTATTACTCACTGTCAGATTCATGGATTTCTCTAATCAGTCATTTAGATCATGACTGGCTTCCTGTTAGATTGATCGGTCTACATAATTCGAGTTTTTGATGGTAGTCAATATATTTATCTATTGTTTAGGTATGAAATGTGGTCACTATGCTGAGTGACACGTTACCATAATGTACCAGAAAATCTAAAGATATTCTAGTACCTTGATATTTTTTGCTAGAGTTAACAGTATCAGTTTACGAACTAAAATGACGTTCAAAGTACAACAATATCAACACAAGACAACAATTTCTTCAGCTAAATGAATTCAGAACATGTTTGAATTACTCTGTTAAATAAATAGTTGAATACTACTCACATTTTGTAATAGAAAGTCATCATTTTTAATGTAATTCTCAGTTTTCAGCTGATTACTCAGCTGTTCACTTTCATGGGATTTGGAAACCAAATTTTTATGTAGAGTGTTGATAATGTGAAGCTCATTGTTACAACAGTCGGAAAATTTATTGATTGGGCTATCATTCTGGATTAAGTCTGTAAATTGACAAGTACATTAATAATAATGATAATAATAACAATAGCTATACATTTTCTTAAAAATTTAGTCAATTAGCTTTATTACGCGGTTAGTGTATATGCTGAAATCATGAATCTACTTAGGTTTACGCTATAACCTCAAAACCAGTCTTCATTACATTAATGTCAGTCTGCTAAACGGAAGATTTTCGGACATTTCATAAGCACTGATTGCAAAAAATGATAGAGTAGTAAATGTAAAGAAGTCTAGGGATTTTGAAAAATTACCTGCTGGACTGTATGATCTTATAAAGTAATGTGAACGTCGATTTAAAGAAGGTTAGTAGTTGGAATGGTGAAATTGGAGTTGTTTCCATGAATCCATTTGTTATTCAGTTTTTCTTTACCATCGAAATTAGCAACTTCTGAAGTATCTGAATACAGCTTTCTCTATCGATAATTGATATCGATTATAAAGACGCATAGTAAATGAGTGAGCATATAATGACCGCTTAGTGTCGAACTCTTCAACAGTGTGCATCCAAAAATGTACTAAAAAGTTATCCAGCTTACCATCATCTGAACAAGAATCAACTGTTCATAAACGGTTAGACTTAAGATGAACTCCTCAGAGTTCTTATGAAATTCTCTAACCAGTTGGAGCTGAAAAGAGTGGCTTATTGATGGCTTTGAGATTTAACAGTGCCACAATATGAGTTGGTAGAAATTCGAAATTGCTAGCCCTCGGTTCCTGGAGAAGTGGCTGAATGGTGGGGTATTTCTTAAGACACTTAATGAATCTGAGCTAAGTCGTTCTGGGATCGGTAATCAGCTTTCCTGAAGAATTTCAAACTACGACAAAATAGCTGTTTGGTAGTCTGTAGTCTTCATCAGTTTTTGAACTGATATTTTTAAATCTGAGGATTCCTTCTATACGAGCAGTGAAACATTATTATGTTAGTTCTAACACATCAGTACTTACTTACAAAGCTATACAATTATAGGAGATCATTTCTAGAATAGCTTGCAGACTGGTTTGCTGACGAAATTGACTTAGTGGGAAAAGTCAAAACTCTCAGCTGAATCCACTACACTTCTTATAATAATCATGTTAAAAAAACGATGCTTTTATATCACCTGCGTTATCTGTGTCACATATGCTCATTAGTTACTGAAAAAGTATTGGGTCACATAACTGTCAGAAAATCGACTTTCAGCAGAAGTTTAGTAAATTCCATTATAGATAAGATTTTTATTTTGATAAATCTTATCTATAATGGAATTATACTCTACCACAGTGCCCAAGTTTTATACTTATATCAAGAAGTTTAGTAACTTAGTGGGAGTTTTATGCTCAACTGATTGATATATTCTCAAGATGTGACAGTGCTGATGAACTCATCCTGTTACATTAGAAATATTTGGTCCTTCTTATTGAAGAGAACTAACCAATCAGTGTTTATTCCGATCCATTACGAGAATAAATAAAGAAAGCATTTAATATTTGATTTTAGATTGGGATCCACGATAGGAAACGGTAGACAAGGGTTTCATATCTTTTAGAACTCATCAGTAATGAGGAAAATGTCTCCTTCAATTTTTCAACTTCACTTATAGTTTACTTTGGTTATCAAGGAGGATTTCATCTTCTGTAAGACATCAGTTTTGAGTTGAAACAGTTTTAGTTATGATATGATCATTCCTTACTTCAAAACAAAACCCACTAAAATATGCAGCCCTTGATGATTCTCACTCTGGACGAAACTATGCAGTTATCCATTCTCATGGATCCAGCATAAATCAGTGGTGTGTGTGTGTAAATAAAGCCCTAAAGTTAATATATCGAATCTCAAAAATTCCACCATTAATTATCACCAACCTAGTTTTAGTTCAATATCTATCTAACCAGCCTTTTGTGTTTAATTAAACAACAGCCAGTTTGTATAATCTGTCCAATGAATGCGATAATGATTATTTTATTGATTAGAATAACTTTTTCAAAGAATATATATGAGAATAAATACAATAGAGTTAGTCATTACTCTATTTGGTAATATAAATCTGTCGATATTGAAAACATAAGTTTTACAAAAGACAGTGATACAATGAAATTATCACTTAGGTGATTGTTTATTTAAATAGGTAGTTGACCTTGTGAGTAGCTGACCTTAGATTTACGCCATATTACTTATTGTTAATTGTTACTGACTGCTTGAATGGAAATGCATTTGAATGCTTTGTGTAATGATTTAAAATGAAAACTTAGTAAATCTAAAACCTTTAAGTGATTTTAAGATAATTTTTTACTAAAATACTGGAGAATAAATATACCTTTAAAGAGAAGTTTTTGTTTTCAAGTGAACTGAGTGCTTTGATTATGAAGTAGGTAAGTTAACAGAACTGCAAAATAGATTATTCATATAGAATAATCGGAAACTGGAGTAGAATTAATTTGAAAAGAAGTAAATGTGACCAAGTGAACGAATAGAATTTAACTCATAAAATTACCGCTTTCTCATCTGAAGCAGTTGAGTAGATTCACATGAACTGTGATCAAGATTTGACCTAATAGTTCCAAAATAATTGGGTGCCGAGTGAGAAGCAGACACTTGTAAAAAAATTATATTTGTAAAATCTCAGCGAAATTGAAATGAATAATTCCCACGTTTGGTTCGGCAATCTGGTCCGAACTCATATGATTGGACAAAGCTTTTAAAAACAAGAGATGTTCTTTTTATATATAAACCTCTATAATGTTAATTTCGATTAATTTCCCTGAAGAAGTTCGGACCAGATTGCCGAACGAAACGTTGGAATTAATCATTTCAATGTCGCTGAGATTTTGCAAACATAATTTTTTACAGTAAAGTAAATGGTGAGAGCTTTAATGAGATTACGGTGGCAGTTGAAGTGGATATTTAAATATTTAATGTTTGATTTAGCGTCGGTGGCATAACAGTTAGGGCGCTCGCCGACCATGCACATGGTCCCGGGTACGATTCATGGCTGACGAACTCCTTTACCTCGCTAAGCCAGAAATAATTCTGGTAAAGAGGAAAGGTTGGGCATGAGGCTAGCAACCTCATCCTGTAAAAATAAACACTGCTACAGAAACTTCAAGCCACTAGCGTGAGGCCCTATGTTCCACTGAGAACCTGAAGGAAAAAAATGGTTGATTTTAATGCTATAGGCACCTCGGAAGCTAATAAAAATAGTCAGTTTCCCAGATAGCCGTTTATTTTCTCTCTGCCTTCCTTATACTGAAATCTCTATATCGGTGAGCATAATTATTCTCATTCTTTTATTCTGTATTTTATATGTCGTTTACGTCGGTTGGTTAAATGTTCACTAGCTATGTGAGAGATTTGGTTTTGATTTCTGATCGATGCATTTCTACATCTCACCTAGTTTATTAGTCGGTAATAAGCTCAGAAAAGAGGGAAGGTTGAGTGTGAGGTTAGTAATCCCACCAGGTAACAAGAAAACCACCAATACCGTAACTTTAAAAGTTGAAATTCTTCATTCATCTATCAACGGAAGGGCCGCAAAGAGATGGCGTCTTGACGTCAATCACTTCTACTTGTGCTGTTACATAATTGTATGCTGGACTTGTTCTATGTCTATGGATCACTTTGTGTGACACCTATTTGTAATCGATAATGTTTCACATATGTATGTATGTATGACACGCTTAATTCAATGATTCTTTAACGTATTCTTCATTGAACATGTACTGACATGAACTATGTTTTGTTTTGCTTTTGTTACCTTTGTTCAAGATGATAGAAATAAAAGTGTTGAAGCTTTAGTTTCAACCTAGATATGTTCAAAGTTAAAGTTGTTTATTCATATCTTTATTCATATTGTGAAAAAAGCAACAAGAAGGTACAGACTACCTGAGATGTATAGAGTGTTACCTGAAAATAACGAACACTTTTAATGAAAAACAAGGTAATGCCAGTTATGCAAATTAGCACAGCGGTTAGGACTCTCGCTGACCATGCACATGGTTTGGGGTTCGATCCCCTGCTGACGCATACCTGATATCAATGGCTGGCCTGCAAAATTTCGGCTACCAATATCATGTGCTGAAAATTCCATACTAGTACCAAAAATATTATGTGGTTTCAAGCTATAATCAAAAATTAAAATTAAAATAGAATTTTATGCAGTGGTTGTGAAGAGTTTAAAGCATAATAATGTCAACGTAAGGCAGCAAAATCCAGTGTCAATCACCATCAACGGGAGCGATTTGAAAGAGGTTACTTCATTCACTCAATTATCTAGGGAGAATTGTCTCAACTACAGGAAGTCGAAACGGACGAGGATGTCAAATCGAGCGAGAATCGGGAAGGTGAGAAACACATTCATCAACCTGAAACCAATCTGGAAATCTTCGTCATTCAGCCAGCATCAACAACAAAATTCGGTCGGATTTTCAATCCAAAGGTCAAGTCAGTTGTTCTATACGGATCAGATCAGAAACTTGGCGGGCGGGTGGGTCACAAAGAATATTTCCAACAGGCTATTGCAGACCTTTATCAACAACTGTCTTCGCTCTATACTGAAGATCAGATGGCCGGGTCGGAAAGAATCACCATCAAGAAACTATAGGAAGAAACAAACAAAACGAGAACCAATCGCCAACCAACAAATATGCAGGAGAAAGTGGATTTGATGGATTGGACACTCGCTGGCTGAGGAGGCCGCTGGGTGACATCGCGCGCGCATCAGGCCATTGCTTGAGTGGAACCAGACTGAAAGGGAAGCAGTGAGCGGGACGTCAGTGCAGGGTGACATGTAGGAGATCGTGTGAAGAGGAGTTGAAAGAGAATGGACTAACATGGATGCAGGTGAAAAGTACAGCAGAAGACAGAGGCAAGTGGAGACGTGCAGTTGAAGCCCTATGTTCCACTATGAACCCAAGAGAACAATAATAATAAGGAGAAGAATGCATAAATAACTTGGTACATTCACCACAAAACGAGACTTAAGTATAGGACTTCAGTACAGTCAGAAAGCATCAGCACATTACTACACTACTTCATTTAGATTTTCTTCATTAATAATTTACTCATCACTTATCAAATTTTTAAAGTCTGTAAGGTTAAATATTGGTCGTAATGTGGTGTGTGCTATTGACAAGGTTTTGTGTGTGAAGCGACAGATTAAATTGTGATGAGTGGAAGTGATGGGTCCTTCTAGAACACCACCGAAATTTCAAAAGGAGGATAAAAGAAGCGCAAAACGAAGAATCTACGCAAATGGAGATTTCATTATAAGGTTTATGCCTTTTGCTATGACTGTACACCAGCTTGCCAAATAAACATTTTACCTCTAAATACTACTGTGTTCTTCTGTCGAACTCATATCTATAAAATCAATAATAGTTGATTTCTGATCATGAAATAAGTTGCTGGACAGTTTTCTGGTAATCCGAAGATATTCTGTCAGTCAGCAGAATCAATGTGGACATACTTTAAACCCAACGAAGAGCCACGTTGAAACTACTCAAATCTTTCCATTATTGGTAAATTTTGTTGTGATAAAGTCTCACAATGTTATACAGTTATATTTACTGATGACGTTTGGAGCACAATTTATTGCTCATAATCATATCGAGGTAATCACACGACGAATCTTTCCACCTAACAATAATGATTAGTACAAGTTGTCTTGAGCTCTCCTCCAGTGCACAATATTCCAGTAAGTTAGTCTCCTCTGCGAAGGGAAAACCCAGCACACTACGCGTTTCGCTCCTTATGAAGTTAGACACAGGACTTTGATTTCAGCTGATCTTCTATTTGCACTTTATAGTCAAATGACATAAAGAAGAAACTGTTTTTAAGTAGAAAGATGTTCAGTAAATTCAAGAGCTCAGGGTGGATTCAATATTGCACCGACATCAGTTACAGAACCATTGAAAACCAGCGTTTCGTCCTAGTTTGGGACTCTTCAGCAATCAAAACCAGTAACTTCACGACCTCCAGGTTACGAGGCAGACATGTTATCATTCAGCTACTGGGCCGAAATTCAATGGTCTAAGAATTCTAACTTCCACCAATCCACCACACAAATCCACTGTCGTCTAATGATATTGGCGAGAATTTGTCCTTACACTTGACTTAGTAAACTTTACTCCTCACAACTTTTTATTGAGACTCTAGGTTCCCAGTAGTTCTTTAGTTGATGTAGACGTGTGATGGAATCAACCGAGTAATCAATTAAATCGCTACATATGCAACCCATGAAAATCTAAGTGTTTTAACTAATACTGAAAGTACAATATCACCGCAAAAAAGTTCATTTTTATTCAGTGAAAATAGACTAAAGCATATGCTTATTTCTAAAGATTCACATAGTGACAGCTGATAGATATGGATGGGAGCATCTGAATCACTAAATTAACCACAGAAAGCATATCTAACTGGGTCACCTACTTTTTTTAATCGTATCACTTTGCTTTTGCACCAGCTGATATTCTTCATTGATAACATGCTCAGTACTTTGACAGATATTTCTGCTTGATTCTCGTTCATTCAAATCCATACGATTTCCAGACAATCCACTCAACGGTCTAAAATACTTCTGATTCATTGATAAGTATGAAAATTTTGTAGATAATGTACGAATTGACTGACAGTCGTCATTATGATGAGAAAAAGCGTAAAATTTATTGGCATTGAAATTTTTGTTCAGTTGATCAAGGGTTAAATGGTTCAAGGGATTTCTGGATTTCTTAACTTTTCTGTCCTTAGAATTATAAGTGTTAGTGGCTTTTATTAATTCTGATTTTTTCCCTATATTTAAATTTGATTTCTTCAATTGATTAATAGTTGTACATTTTGAACTCTTAACTGAATTCATTTGTTTCAATGGATTTTGTTGCTGATTATTATTGTTGTGCAGCAATGACGGTGTTGAACAATTAACTAGTAATGATAACATTTTAACATCTTTCATTATATTCTTAGCAATATAAATACAAGTATATCCATGTTTATTTGGTAAACGAATTGATTTATTGTGGTATTTACAGATTATATTCACCACATCATACCTGTGAATAGAAAACAAAATAGGATTTAAGGTTAGTCAAATTTCGCTGTCCGGGGTTAGGAAACAGTGAGTATATTAGCAGAACAAACTAGCAGTGCTTTCATTTCAACATACTTGAATAGATAGGAAGAATGTGGTTAATTACGATTTGAATTTCCACAAGTAGCTGATGCTATGTAATGCTGGATTGCGTGTTTACTGGAGTACTGCCGTCATATCAGATGTTACCTTCCACCATTTTATAGGTGTTTTATTAACTCTCTTTTACACTGCTAAAATGTTTGTTGTGGCGGTTGCTATACTGTTTCACGAAGACGCCAGTCAATAGCTTTTATCTTCACCTTATTCAGTGAATTATTTGGACTTGTTTTCTCCTTTTCTAATTTGGTATACAGGTAGTTACATGTGATGGCCTAATTCGTTATCCTATTATTCCCATTTATCTGACATTGTTGAATTGTTCTTTTGTTAAATGCTGTATTGTTGAGTTTCCCTGCCGAATATATAAACTAATTACATTGGGAGCTTATACATAGCACTTCTGATACTACAGTGGTTAGGACTCTTGTTGACGATACACATGGTTCGAGGTTCGATCCCCTGCCGACGCACACCTGATATCTATGGTCGGCCTGCAAAATTTGGACTACCGATATCACATGCTGAAAATTCCATACTTGTACCAAAAATACAGTGTGGAATCAAGCTGTTAACAAAAATAAAAATAAAATTACTACTACTGTCTGTGTAATGGGCTGTGTGAATTTCGATTGTAGTGATAATACAACACCAGTACTACTGTAACCCTACTTATTCTTATGAACCGCCGGTAGACGGCATGTTGCGAAGTCATATAAAAGACGTAAGATTATAAGTGAACTAGTATTGGGATACATTTATCCTAGTGTATTTCAGTAGGCTAGCGACATGTCGGTTACCATTTGTCATTCTTGTATGATATTGAGTAAAAGATGCAATTAGTACGTAGCATGATAATTACTTCTGAATTTAATTACAAAACAGTACACCACCATAAGTCGATTTCCGTCTGCATAATCACTAAATAACACAGAGTATCAGACTGTAACTTCTTTTTTTGCTCTAGCAGCCTACACTCTACTAGCTTATTGATGAAAAGTAAAATAAAACATTGTTGGATTTTAAGGCAAAGAAGTCCTCTACTCGAAATAACGGAACTTATTCCTATTACATACATTCCAAACATTAGTCATTCAGGAATTAGGCAAGGTGTTAGACGTAATGACTTCGAAGTTCGAAATCTATCCTACCGACTTGAGATAGCTATCTTCAAAGCTGGTACCTTTTCGTTTCATATTTGTTTACCTAGAACAGTAGGTGAGAAAAATATTTAATACCGATTTCCAGTTTTAGTTTTCAGTTTGAATACTACTGGAAAAGTACTTTTGAACAAAAAATCAGCTGATCTTTCAATTTTTAATTTTTGATAACTACGAATGACTAGTAGTGGAAGTCAAGTTTTTTTTTAATGTACTCAACGAAAAGGTTTATTTTGAGTCACTCGATAAGTGAATGCTAGTTATTTTATAGCAAACATGGTGTATAATGCATCTGAGAAATTACCAAGAAACTATGTTAATATTTGATGGTATTAGATGGTTGGAGGCAATCGGCCACAGGAAGCCTTCGACCTAGGTTTCGTGCTAGTTGGCACTCAGCAGTCAGCAAGGCGTATCTGCAACCTTGAAGGAACTCATGTCTCTTCTGACATTCGAACCCGAGTCACCCAGTGCTGCAGTCAGAGACGTTACCACTGAGCTACTCGGGCTCGCGATTGACCTCCTGTAGAACTGTAGTGGATATCTTGATTTGACACTAGTAACTAGTGTGATGCGTCTAGTCCTCTGATTGGTGTAGACTGAATTCTATCATTCAGGTTGTAATGTGACCACCATTCTAGCTAGCTCGCCATCACGGTGCACATTGATTTGATGGTATTAGACGGCTGGAGGCAATCGGCAGGAAGCCTTGAACCTAGGTTTCGTGCTAGTTAATATGTTAATATTTCCCTACTATGCTCCAGAAATGGTTATGCTCCTATCATTTTGTAGACTTTCTCAGTAACATTCGTTTATTAAGAGATGTACATTGCCTAAACAGGCAGAAACAATTAATCTAAGCTATTCGTTTTCCATTAGTGGGGTTTTTGTCTGTCAAAGTAAATTCAACCATACTGAAACATGAGTTATACAACTACTGATAAGCCTGGCTCACTGGATGACCTTTTCATCCTTCTTTTTGACCCTGACACAATGGACCTCAAAAAACTGATTAGTGGTTGAACACAAAACGGTCTGGTTACCAGTTCAGTGCATTCCTATAAGTTTCGCCTTCCACCCAACGAGATGATATTTTGCAGACATACAGACATTGTCCTTGACATTAAACTATAAGAGGATCAGGAAGATCACTCATTACAAAATTATACTGACAAGAGAATTCTAAGTACAAGAAAACAGTTTCGGCTCAATTTAAAGCTATTTACACTAACAAGTTACGGACTTCTTTCAGGTAACAATCCCAACAGAGTACCAAGTAGTTAAACGCTAAATAACAGGTACTTTCCCTAATTGTGGTTTACATCTAAAAGTGGATTTATCCCGAGGTTATATCAGTTACAACCTTTTCTCTAATCACGGGCTTGGTTTTATATAATCGTGAAATACGTTCCTTATCGACTTATGGGTAGCCATCGGCGAATAATAATTTCTAGGGAATATACTATCCTTGTTTTCCGTTAAAGGCAGGGTTGTGGTCACCCAACATTTGTCACTTTTAGATCATCTGTTGGTAGCAGGTGCTTCCTAAACTGAATCTAACCGTTTCAGTAACTGCAGATTTTCCAATGGTTTTAAGGCGAATTAAAACTTACCCTATCCATATTGTAGACGAAAATTGACTTCACAATATTACCAGCATACACTAGTAGGATCTTATAAACGACATACTAAAGGAATGTGTGCATATAGTTGTCTAAAACTTACAATTTGTCAATTACAGCACAATGTAACGCTGTATTCCCATTTTTATCTGTTAATGTACAAAATTCATCAAACAATTTTAAATTTCTAATGTTAACTGCTTCTTTCGTTTTCTTTTCACCTTCTAAACTTTGATTTTGACATAGTTTAGTTATTATACTAACATCATGTAAAAGTTGATTTAATGTTTCTAAATTCTTTGATTGAATTGTTAAGTGAAATACTGTGCCTTGACTTGTTGACTCATTTTCATTTGTTTGCATGCAAGTCAGCTGATAGAGTGTAGACAGCTGGTGTACGTTCACTTCTGTATGATGCTTTAAAATCAATTTAACCATTGTAGCCAATCCTAAATGACAAGCCAAGTGAAGGCATGTCCAATTGTTATGTTGACTTCTTTGAGTAATATTAACCAGACCAGTATTTAGAAGTTGTGTAACCTAGATGAAATTTTAAAAAATGAAGGGCAGCATAACAAAGCAATTGAGAAGTGAATTAACTAACTAATTAATTAATTGATTATTCAACTGAAGTTCTGGGGTTGTCAATGAGATTCTTAAGCTTTATGCTTGTTGATTAGTTTGCGCATGTAGAATTTTTTCCTCAGGTAAACTTTTCTAGGCACAAATTAAACGAAGTTGAACAAAACAAGAATGACAAATGTACCCGGATAATATATGAGCTCATCTTTTATTATTTTGAGGATTCTTCTCAACTGCCTACAACCTGAACAATACAAAAAATACTACTATTATTAGTTTTACTTTATTCCTTTACGTTCCCAGTGGAACACAGGGCTTCAAGCTAGAGCTTTGAAGTTTCCATAGCAGTGGTGTTTACTTTTACAGGATAGGATTGCTAACCTCCTCATTGCCAACCTTCCCTGTTTACTAGTCTTATTATTGGCTTAGCGAGGTAAAGGAGTGCGTCGGCCGGGAATTAAACCCCTAACCACATCCGTGGTTGGCGAGAATCCTACCACTGCGCCACCAACGCACAAAAAATTACAAATCACATTAAAAATTTAAGCATAATGATCTTCACGATTGCCAAGGAGTAGTTGTGACAGAAAATAAGAGTAATATAAGTCTGGAATGATGTGAGTTATTAAATTGCTAAGAGTTAGAAGAGTTGAGAAGAATTCTTGAAATAATACAAAGATGAATTCATATTAACCTGATACATTTGTCATTCTTGCTTTGTTTAAGTTTATGAATGGGAAGCATTATTAAATGAAGTTGGTTAACTGGTTTGTGAAATTGGAGTGATAGTCAACATCTTCTAAATATATTCACCGTATACACAAAGTCGATTAAAAGTGAGCACTAATTATTTTCTTTGAAATGAAGTTAGCTCTCATCTTACGTAGTAGAGCATTTAATGTCTGGCGTGTCTTTAAATTCATAAGGAAAAGCTTCCCTTCAAGGATATCGTTCTCTGAAACAGTAGAATTTTATTTATATCCATAACAAATATAAATATCTTTTATTGATAAAAGCTGTGTGATTCCTTTAGTTATATAACTCACATAGATGAGATAAAAAGTTGTTACTTGAGGCTAAGAGATAATACATATTGACTTGTAGGCTTCACTAGGCATCCACTATCTGAATTGAACACTGAGTACCAATCAAGAAGATAATGAAAGTCAGTCATCAGCTGAGGGACTTAAGGCTTAGCTAATTAAGGTTATGAACATGTAACAGAATGTTCTCAGGAAACTATTTCCATATTTACACGGAAATTCAAAAATAAAGTGAGAATTCGAAGATTGTCTGACAGTTCGATTTTGAGCTCTGCGTACAGTATAAGTCTCTTCCGTCTTTATGTTTGGTTGCTATCATCAGTCCTACCATTTAACTTATTATTTTTATGAGACACTAATTAAATGCATCAGATCTTCAATGCTAGAATCTTTGCCAACTACATCAAAGGTCCTGGTTCGATTCTTGTCTGTATCACTCCTAAACCTCGCAAAGTTTACTAGCCAGGAAAAGGGGAACTAATGGGTGTGAGACTAACAACCCCAGTCCGTAAAACCAATACCACCGCTACTGAAAATTCAAAATTCCGTTAGCAATGGAAGAAATGAGGAAAAGTTAAACACTGAAATTTTTAACATGTTTCTCGCTCGTGTTCTTTATCCTCGTTATCATACTTCGTATTTGGTAATAATTTTCACAATATTCAATTCTAGACATTTATTATTACCTTATTGTTTCTCGGAATTATTAAGTAATCTCTAATCAAATATGAACTATAATAGCATAATCACAGTTGCAAATTTCAATCCATTGGTCTGGAGGGAAAAATTAGGACTAATTCCATGATAAAAGGACAGTAACTAAAACTGCGTCAATAAACCAGAAAGAAAGTGAAATGTTAACCAATCACTCGATCATTATGAACTTTTATAAATGCGCATAAAAATTTCTCCAAATCTTATTTTTCTAACATAATGCACTGTAGGTGATGTGTTCTCTAACTGATATCAGTCAGTGGGCAAACTCGTAAAACAAATCAAATCTTTGCAAATCAACTATTGAAAATTAATCTGATGCTCGCTAGTGACTTGCTACAGGATGAGTTTCCTGGAGTTCTAGTGAGAAGTTGCGATCAGTGAGGTCCAACCAGTCAGGTGTGAGGACCGATTTTCCACCGATGACATTGATTGGCGGTCGCGCTAAATCACGAAGTGTTAGAATTTAGAATTCATGGACTGGCCACTGAATCGGGTCCCAATGGCTGAATGGTATACGACCTTGCCTTAAAACCAGAAGGTCCTGTCTTCGAACCCTGTCGATGGGTGCATACTGCCGATGATTCCCAAACTAATATGAAAGAGCTGTCCAGTACTCCCTGCAGGTTTTCCAATGGTTCTCTAACTGGTATTAATCCTTGGTCAAACTCGTAAAAACAAATTTAATCCCTACAAACCATCTCCTGAAAGTTATAAATTACTCTCTGTCTTGATAATTTAAATGCCCTTGTTAACTTTATCATAACTGTTTCATCCTACACTTTTCTTCTTGCAGTGACTAAGAAAAAACAAACACTTAGGCTATGGGCGTTATATGTATACTCCTATTATTTTTATTATTATTATTCTCTGTGGTTCCCAGTGGAACGTAGGACTTCAGCACTAAAATTTCCATTTCATCCTATTCTCTACAGTATTTTCCAGCCATTCCCCCAACTGCACATAAATTTTCATCTCCTCCACACATACACTCTCTTTCATGTCACTCTCAGATGCCCCAATGGTTGTCTGCCAGTTGGGTTGCACTTGAGCGATTACTTGGCGTGGGATGCCACCCAGCAGTCTCGTCACCATGTGTCCGATCCATCTCCATTTTCTTAGACATATTTGTTGAGCAGTAGTTTTTAGCTTTGTTCCAAAGTGATTTCCGAGTGAAGAACGTCTGCCTTGATCTTACCATTCTGATTTTGATATCCCCATCCGTGCAGTCTGCATGTAGTTGAAAAGATGCTGACTGGATAAGTGGAGGAAGTGATCTCTTTCAAATTTATTCCGATGACAGTGATTTGGGCTTTTTATTGGTCGTCGGTTGGTTATTTTCAACACCTCTGTCTTCCCTATGTTCGCTTGGTGACCTGTCTTTACTGCGTCTTCAGCCAGTTTATTGATTTTTTCTGTAAAACTGAATAATGTTAGTAATAAAGCTAATGTTCTACAACACAAACAAATTGGAATGCCACAGAAAGTACCGTTTTTTAAAAAAAAACAGATCTGTAAGAAACTAAAAGAGAAGTGGCTTATTGCCGCAAAGACATAGTTTCCAGCTAGTGAATTTTTGGTTCAAAAATGGCTCTATTTATTTCATCCTGGGAGACTGGGTTACAATCACACAGTTCCGAAAGCCTCCATGCAGCAGGTGTGGCTCAAAACACGGAGGATGAGGGATCTATTCCAGGGATTAAGTTCAAATGAAACAGAAAAGTTGACAGTGCTAATAGAGAAACAAAAAAGCATTTGTAAAGCAGTTTACTTGATCTTCGTGATAATTAATCAAAGGGGATTTTTAATCTTCACATTCGCTTCCCTTGTAATTTTCCATCCACTTATCTTCCATTTGTGACAATTTGAGATACAGAAAATTCCTGAAATCCTTTCAAACAAAAGTTTTTGATCTATAGAAAAACACGTTTAAAATTAGACAGGCATTCTCTTTCGTTACTAGACTATTTGTGCCTCATTGAACTGGTCAACACTGCATTGTTGACTTTGAGAATGGCTTACACATCTAAAGTGAACTTGGAATAACAGTTTCTCATGAAAATATGATCCTAAATTTCAAAACATAAAACAATTAAAATGTGTCTCCTATCATAATAGACTGAAACATGAAAGATCAAATACAAATCTAACTTACTGCGTCTTCAAATCCAGCTTCTACTGCAGCATAAATTGAACTGACTCCATCAACATGGCAATTTATCACATTTTTAATAAACTCTAATCCCTTGGTAAGATTTAATTCATTTAGAACTTCAGTCAGGTGATTTATTTTTAATCTATTGATTGATTGATGAAGTGTTCTTGCCCATTTTACGACATCCTCCTCCCCATTTTCTTCTTCTTCATTATGTTGCATCTTGATAGTATCCGATTTGATGCTCTGCTGAATAATTTGAATTACAATTTGGCTTTTTAAAGCAGATTGCAGAATAGGGTTTTTATTCTTGTCTGAATAAAAGAGATTACTTTTGTGAAAAAGTGACTCCAAAATCTTTTGTGTTTCATCATCAGAAAATTACTTACAGTACTTGTTGCTGATTATTACAGACCGTATACATCAGGAAACTACTTTCGATATGGAGTCTGGGATGTTACAGTGTTAGAATGCAGTTATATACCCAGGTGCATATTTATAGCACAATCAGATAGGATCCCTCCAAAATGAACCCGGAAACCTCAAGGTATATGCTCGCACCAGTATTCCAGAAAGCATGTAAGTTAGGCAGTGGGCCTACCAAATGGAAGAAGCATTACCCTGTTAAGCTCCTAAAGAACAATGACTTAAGACTGCAAAAAACTGCCTCTGAATCATACTCCTTTCCATTCCAAGCAAAATATTATTTTGCATGATCCTGGGGAAATCTGAATATGCTCTGGATGCAAAACGCCGACTGGAACAAGATGGTTTCGAGAAAAAAATCCTGTGAGGATCAAACTGCAACACTACGCATTATTATCACTGAACAGAGCATAGGATGGTATTCAAATCTCTACCTCGAATTCATCAATTTTGAAAAGGACTTCTACAATGTTGACCTCGAAGCAGTTTGGAAAACACCCTAGAAGATCTGGATTTCTCAGACGATCTGCATCTCATGACACACAAACCCGAAGAGTCACATGCGAATACCAACAAGTTGGTGTGTGAGACACGAAGGAATCCAGATGAAGATAAAGAAGACAATGGTGATGAAGATACCCAGTCAAAAACAAACAATCCCATCAACACGAGAATTCTAAAGGCAGCCGTCTCTCTAACTTACTTGGCCAAGCAACATTCGAATTCAACGGCAGGAGATACATATGGGGATGCCAAATCCAGCCAGTACTAGATAGATTAAGCAAGACAAGAGTTCACTGCTCTGATATCACTATAGAGATATACAGCATCTAACATAAAGAACGAGATTTAAATTCTGTCTAATATCAAGTGTAACCGCTCATCCATATGGCTCAGAGACTTAGCGTGCTCCTCTTACCAAAAGCATTTCCAACAGGCTGCAGACTTTTATCAGTAGTCTCTTTTTCCCGATAACGACTGTCAGATGACCAAGAAGGATCTTTTCAATAAGGAACTCTAGGAGAAAGTCGGTCAATAACCGATTTCTCAACAAATATACGGAATTAAATCGAAGTGGATTGGACACACACTGGACAGACCATTGAACGATATTGCCTTCCAGCCCCTCAGGTGGAACTTGAATGGAAAATAATAGGTTGGATGAAGGTACGAGAGTGATATGGACATGAACATTTGAGAAGAAGCAGTGGAACCAGCTGAAAGTGATGGTGAGGGACTGAGTGCAATGAAGACGTGTCCCTGAAGGCCTATGTTCCATCTGGAATGAAAGTAATGAATAAAAATAATAGTTGCGCTGTGTCGCGAATTGGCAGAATTTGGAATTCATGGGCCATTGGGTCAAATTCCAGTGGCTTAATAGTCAACAAGCTCACCTTGTAACTAGAAGGTCCTGAACTCGAACCACTGTGGGTTTGTACTGCAGAAGAGTCCCAAACCAGGCTGACGAAACAGCTGCCCAGTACTCCCTGCAGGTTTTACAATGGTTCTCTATCCGATGTCAGCTCATGATGAAATCCTATAACTAAAAGTAAAGTATTTCAGCAATGTTTTCTTTAAAATATTAGTCTTAAAAATATTCGATATCAGATGTACTAGATTCTGAGCCAAATCAACATAAATTTGTCTTTAAAATGACTTCAATTGCTTCATTTAGTTGTTTTAGCAGAACTGTGAAGTTTGGATCTGTGTGGAAAAATGTATAGTACTCCCAGAAAAATGAGAGTCTACATCCATTTATTTTATGAAGTCAATGATCCTAATCATCAATGATTAGTTTGTTGACCTTTAAGTTACTAGATTCTACTTCATTCACCCACTTTATAAGTGAAAACTTACAGAGATCCTGGAAAATGAATGGAGATATCACTTATTGGCTGAAGCACTTGACTTTCATCCGATGGATGCTGAATTAAATTCCATCTTACTTACCTCAGCCTGAGCGACCAGACAGCATTGTCAACCTTCACTCAACAAGTGTGGCCTAAGGCCTAGTACATAAGAAATCTATTCCGTATAACTGAGTGCTATGTAACAATAAAGCCTGAAGATTAAACGTCTAGTACAGGGAAGTATAATGCGTTGATTTTGCATAGAAACCATTAGAAGGCAACAACTGAAGCCATGCATTAGCCACTGATTTACGTTTCTTTCCAGTTGAAATCATTAGGGGATAATTAACAGCTTTCGAGTGTTTGAAAGTCTCAGCTTTTTATGCCTGAAATTTCTTAAACTTGCCGAAACAAAATTGAATTAACTTATGCCTATTATCAGACGCTTTCATTTTCTTGTTAAGTAGTAACTGACTCCTTTAAAAAATTGTTTGTAGTATGCAAGTTTTATACTCTACTCAGACTATGGGTGACAATGCAAATTTAAAAATTAGGCAATATCAATTAAACAAGGTTTATTTAACCAGCATTCGACAATTAAACCACATAGGTGATTTTTCCCTCACAACACTCATCACCTGATTTAGTCTTCAACTAAACAGGTGTTGTGAAACGATGTAGAAGATTTTTTGAGAGGTTAGACAATAGGTCAACTATTCGAAGGATCTGGGTTCGGTCCAAGATGGGGTGACGGGTACGTATTATTGAAGAGCCTCAGAGAAGGATGAAACAGCTATCTAGTACCCCCTGGATTTCGGTAGTCCTTTAGCTAAATTCATTTCGTGATAAAAATTTGAATCAATCAAATCCCTGCAAAACCAACACATAAAAATTAATCTAGTACTCACCACTGACGCACTACAGGATGAATTTACCTGAAGTCCTAGTGGGGAGTCGTGGTCACCAAGTTGGACATGAGGAGAAACACTCACTAGTGACATATATTTGCGATCGCAGTATACTGTGAAAATGAACATTACCAATATAAGTGGACATGAGAATAAGAAAAGTCTTCGGCAAAAAACAGTTAGGTTCAGGTTCATCATGGGAAATAGATATTACTTTCACAGAGAATTCCAAAAGCTTATTTCACTTTTAAGTTTAGCACTGAAGATATCCGGAAGAACAATGAAAGCTTCAAAAACAATCCATCTTGCTCACAGAACCCAGAAACATCAAAAACATGTGCATTCCGGCTAAATCTTCAAATCAGTATCTAATGCACAAAGTATCACAGATTTATGTTATAAATAGTCGAATTAACCTGAAACCTTTCTACCATAGAAATTGTTCCTGCAGGTGAACATATAATTTTTGTATTAGTCGTAGGAGTCAAGGTGAATGATACTGAAGGTTAACTGATTTAGAACTCTCATTCAGTTTTACTTCACTTATGAATTTATATGCTTTTTGTTTCTCCACAAGATCTAACGTTCAAACGAAATGAACTGTTCACTACGAGATGAAAAGGTAATCAGCTGCAGTATCTACATTAGCTGAGTGATAGTAGTCATTATTATCCTTATAATTAGCACCATTATGAATGTAGTTTTACTTATCTACTTTTAGGCTATACTCAACCACTTAAACATTTATTGTACACGTTGCAAGTCCAATGACTTTAATCATCTTTCATAAAATACCAACAGCCTGAACTTGGATCGATTTCTTCTTTCTTATAACATATCGCAAATTAACTGAAGCCAGGAACTATGGGCCACTGGATTTCGTCCCAGTGACTGTATGGTTAACGAGGCCGCCTTGTAACCTGATGTTTCTGGGTTCTACCTTTGGTAGGGTGATGGATGCATACTGCTGAATAGTCCTAACTTAGGATGAGGTAGTTGTCTAGTACTTCTTGATTTTCACTGGTTCTCTTAGTGAAGAAAATTCATGATCAAACTTGAATATAACTAATCAGACAGATTTATTCAAGGAGTTCTTAACAAGCTTTGTTTTTCCACTATAAAGTAATATCTATGCAAATGTTGTGAATAATCAAGAACTTTCTACATTTCCATATTATTATAACTTTTTATTCTACATGGCTGAGAAGAGGTCTTTTATTGTGTACTGGTTGTTCAATTCAACTTAATCAATGTACAGTGTCCATGATTTCGTAGTCAGTAAACATATTTGATAGAATGTTGACTATTATCGCTATCCTAGATAATCTGATATTATTCACATTTCGCAGATGGATGGCCATTTCGTTCATCTTGATCTGAACTCATTAGTAATTTGCCCACTCTTAAATTAGTTCAGAGAGCTAAACTGGATTCTGCCAAGTTGAATTTTATTATTATTATTGTTCCCTTGGGTTCATAGTGGAACATAGGGCTTCAGCTGCATGTCTCCACTTGATTCTGTCTAATGCTGTACTTTTCACCTGCATCCATGTTAGTCCATTCTCTTTCAACTCCTCTTCACACGATCTCCTACATGTCACCCCTGCACTGACGTCCCACTCGTCGCTTCACTTTCGGTTTGGTTCCACTTGATCAATGGCCTGAAGCGCGCAATGTCACCCAGCGGCCTCCGCAGCGAGACAGTGTCCAATCCATCTCCACTTTCTTCTGCATATTTGTTGGTTGGCGATTGGTTCTTGTTTTGTTTGTTTCTTCCTATGGTTTCTTGATGGTGATTCTTTCCGACCCGGCCATCTGATCTTCAGTATAGATCCAGCGAAGACAGTTGTTGATAAAGGTCTGCAACAGGCTGTTGGAAATATCCTTGTTGACCCGCCCGCCCGCCCGCCAAGTTTCTGATCTGATCCGTATAGAAGAACTGACTGAATTGACGTTTGTATTGAAAATCCGAATTTTGTTGTTGATGCTGACTGAGTGACGAAGATTTCCAGATTGGTTTCAGGTTGATGAATGTGTT